GTAGGAAGAGTTCCTATTACTCAGGGTTGAAACTGTCCTAACAGTCTAGAGGAGAGGGCTGAATGATGTGCAACTTGTCAACATGTCCTCATTTAGGGACTGCTGCATTGGAAGAGCTGCCAAACAAGGGGGAAGCAATTGGACCACAAGAAAAATGGGTAAAAATATTTAGTTCTATGGCTCACAAGTCCTGTGTAAGGAAGGCCCATAAACGAGCAAAAATCAGAGGACAACACTGCACACCTAAGTGACTGCATGAACCGTACCATCAGCACTGGGAAAGCAGTACTGGGCTGCCAGTTTGAAGATTTTACTAAACCTTTCCCAGGACTATGTACTGCTCTAATGCCAGTTTTCTGGGATGTGTACAGAGGTACCAAGTGGCAAAGCAAGAAGATATATTTCCACAAACATGCCCTAAAAGAGACTATGCAGAGGACACTCCTCTTGGAAGGCAACACTCATTCCCACTGCTCCCAAAATGTGGTGTAAAGATAACATGTTCTGCAATGCATCTAAGCTCAACATTTTTGTGTATATCAAAGCTTTGAAGATTTAATTCCCCACAGTCTCCTGAAAAATTCCCATGATCTGAGAGAACTAAATAGACTGCAGCAGAAATCATACTATCTGACAACCTTCCAACATACACCAGCTAGTACTACCTTCTGTATAGGGCCCTTTTCAATGCCCTCAACAATTTCTCAGCGTGCACAGCCACACAAAGCTATTGGAAGATGCTGCCACGTGAGAATAAATTTCAGCAACATCTTTCCACTGAAATCGAGTTCAGATTCTTATGGTGACACTCCACCTTGAATTCAGTGGCTGAATCTGATTTCAAAATCCCTGCTATTGAAGCACTGTCCTCTGCATGATTTTTACAAAGGGCCTCAGATGGGACATTCTTCCTTCACATGTTCAGGACTTCGTGTCCGTAACAAGCAAAGTCAGCACTGCTCAGTCAAAGCCTGCTCTGTATCTCAAGAACCTAGTTACCAGTTATTGTCTGAGAATAAACAGTTTGCTTACCCCTGTAGACATTTCTGGACAGTACAGGCCCTACCTGCTAGTCCCTTTTTACCCTCTCAAAAAGTAGAGGTTTGGTGGTTTGGAATAAATCAATAAAACCGGTTACTCGTTTTTATTAAAAATGTTTTTTCATTGAAAAATGGGAATTTGTCAAACTGCTACTGAAGTTAAATCCTACAAGGATTACAGAACTGGGACCAACATCTGCAAAAACGAGCCTAGTTTTATTGCATTCCATTAACTGAAATATATAACTCACCCACCTATAAAATAGGGTACTCAGCTGGGAAACCGACATATTTTCAGTTTTTGACATTTTATTATATACAGATTTTCTTATATTATTATTTGTTGTTGTTTTGGTCAGAACTGCTAAACTGCATAATCCACTAACTCAATCTGTAAGGACAAAATGAGTAGTTGTCATTCGACACTCCATCTACACTCCCTGTACCAGATGCCTTCTCAATCTTCTCTTCATCATCCAAACTCAGCTGCAATACCTATCCTGAATACCGCTTTTTTTTTTTTTCAAATAAATTCAAATAATATGGTATATAGGGTATAGATTTTAAGTAAATTGACAGCCAATGTCTCTATGGCTGTTAAGAACAAGATGTATGTGCTGAAGGTAGGTGCAGGATTTCCACAGAATTGCTGTGGAGCTGCAGTGTTGGTGAGCCAGGGCTCTTCTTCCATTGTGGTACATCAGAATTTACGTCAGTGAGATCACTGAGTGCTTAAACACAAAATCAGTGACAGCACAAGGGAACCTGGACATTCATTTATAAACGAAGATGTCAGATGAACAAAGATTATATCATTGGTTTAGCTGCTGATTTCCTTGACTATTTTTCTACACATCAGTGACAAGGAAATAATATTTAGATGAACTAGACTGATGAGTATTATTATGAACTAGGCTGATGACGCATACACCAAACACATGCAGACAGTCCTAGGAAAGAAAATAAACTTCCAGATTAAGCACAACTTTTGTACACTTTTTGGATCTGGCAAAGCACCACACAGAACACTACATGAATTTCTAAACAAAATTAAATGTCTGAAACCAATTTGATGCAGTTACTGAATCCTAAAGAGACTTATTTAGAACTATTCACTGCTGCTGAACCATGTGCTTTTCACAAATTCATAGGTGGAGCCAGTATCTCACTAGCTGTAAAGCTGCCCTCTATCTCCCTTGTTTTCAGCTCCCTAGAACTATGCCACTTTTAATAAATTAAGCTCCTAATTTCCATGTTCCTCTTTGCTTTAGGGTAAATATTATGCAAAATTTTAGCCAAGAAAGATATAACTTTTTTTTTTTAATAAGACTATCAAAAAGGTATTTTCTTGTGTTCACATTAGTACTTCAAACAACTTGAAGCAAGCTTGTCTCCTGTGCTCTGGAGCAGTGATGTATTTGGCAGGGAGGTAGTGTGCTAGGAGCCCTGTGTTGGGAATGTGACTTTTGTGAAATACGTGAAAATGTATCCTAATTTGGCCAAGTTACAAGCTATAACAAACCACAGTTTGCATCTCCCATATATCCTGCTATATCTGCTGAATGCACCCAGCTGAATTCTCTGATGATTGCATTTCAGTAGGAATGCTCAGATTCAGGGTAAAGCACGACTTTATCTCCAATCTGTCTTCAGAACAGTTCTGGGACCTTCCCAGACTGTCTGGGTCTGGAACTGGTGATAAGAAGCCTTTTCTCTGGTGCTGTCTGCAGTTCCTGCTGGTCTTAGGGCTTGTGGGAGAGGAAAATGTCTGATTTACACACAGACCCAGCAAGGGTTTGACTTCAGTGGGAGAGAACAGAGGGAAGACTGGAACTGAGGCAGCGAACCGACGCTCAGCATGGAGGAGGACATCTGATGAGCAGCTGTGTCCCCTGAGAACCGTCATGTTTGGGAAGGCAAAAAAGAAAAGAGTAAAGAGGTGATCACTACCCTGGAACAGCCAACAGGAGAGGAACCAGAAAGGAAGCTGGGTCACCTTGAGGCCATGACTTGAGAAAAAGGACAAAATCCACGTGGGTAACTAGAAAAGTCTGAGTAAATAGTTTGGGGACAAGGGCTTGAGTGAAACAGCACAGCAGCAAGGCTTCAATCCACCAAGGCTCCTGGGCCTGAGCCTCTCAGTTCATGCTCTGGGCGTTTGGAGATACCTGGCTGTGGTGAAACTGATCCAGTGGCGTCAAGACCAAGAAATCTGGGGCAGGAAAACCAGAAACGCTTCACCACGGGCGTTATGGTTGGGAATGGGACTGAGGCTGAAGGCTTGAGAAGGAGGTCTGAAAAGTGAGAGCAGGTCTTCTGAGAAACACCATGCGCAACTTGAGATTAGGCTGAAAGCCAGCATTAGGCTCACCAAAGAAATAGGATGAGGAGGTAGGTATAGGGAAAGAGAAGCTGTGTAAGTGTACAACTTAAAGTGGTATCAAAATATATGGGCACAAAGACACTAATTACAGTTGCGGTGACACTTATTTCTGGCATGCCCCAGCTGGGGAGTCCCTGTTAGCAGCGACTCCAGCAGATGCACTGGAGCATCCCAGGGGAGCACAACTACCTTAGACGCCCCTATCCCAAAAAGCACCCAAATACCTAAACACAGACACCGGCTCTACGCAGAGGAGCGACGGGGACGGGGATGGCGGCGCGGCCGGGAGGTGCCGGCGGCGACAGAGACCCGGGAGGCCCCGGCAGGCGGCACGGCTCGGGGGAGGAACGGCGGGAGCTGCGGGGTTTTGGGGGGATTTCGGCCGCTCGTCCGGCAGAGGAGAGGAGCGGGGAGGAGGGTGTCGCCCAGCCGAGCTCCAGGAAAGGAGGGAGCTGCAAAAAAAGCCCCTCGGCCTTAGAGTTTGGAAACAACACGAGGAAGAAGAGCGGGTCACACGGGAGAGCCCCAGAAAACTTTGCCCGGGGGGCACCGTCCCCCAGCCCCGGCTCCCTGCAGCCCGCTGACCTCCGTAACCAGACGTCTCGTTCGCAATTACGGAGTTTGACGTGAATAGGTGAGCGCATGGTTTGCATTATGGAAGAAATGACCCGATAATCGCCGGGCCGCGGCGTGTGGATGTGATAAGTGACTCCGCGCCCCGAGCCCCCCCGGCACCCGGCTCTCGGCCTCCCCCGGGGCGTCCTGCGGCAGAGGGGGTGTCCCGTCCCCGTCCCCCCCCTCGCCGTCCCCGGCGTCTGGCCGCTGCCCCCCGGAGCTGCGGGTGAGAGCGGGCGGGTGTTGAAGCCGTCTCTTGCTCCCCGCTGCCCCCCTGCCGGAAGCACCGGCTCGGTAGCCCCGGGCTTGCGATCGGGGGGCACCTTGTAGCGGGGAGGCTGGAGGGGTAAACGGTGCTTTTGATCAAGGAGCTATGAAGAGCAGTAAAATAAATCAAATGCTCTCTGATAACTGCGTGAAATGCTTCACAAGCCAAACTCGAGGAGCTGAAATTTGGAAAGGGGAGAAGAAATAGTGAAAAAAAAAAAAAAAAAAAAAAAA